CAGTGCCAGCATCTCCCATTGAAAACGCTCGGCGGTCGGCACACTACTAAGTATATTCTAGGCACTATACAGGTGTTCCAAATAGAGACGAGCGCTCTCGGTGCGCCCCGCCGCTCGGATAGCACGGTCCCTAATGGGTGTCGCCGTCTGGTGGCCTCCGGAATAAGGCATCATCGGCAGTGCCAGCATCTCCCATTGGAAACGCTCGGCGGTCGGCACACTACTAAGTATATTCTAGGCACTATACAGGTGTTCCAAATAGAGACGAGCGCTCTCGGTGCGCCCCGCCGCTCGGATAGCACGGTCCCTAATGGGTGTCGCCGTCTGGTGGCCTCCGGAAGAAGGCATCATCGGCAGTGCCAGCATCTCCCATTGGAAACGCTCGGCGGTCGGCACACTACTAAGTATATTCTAGGCACTATACAGGTGTTCCAAATAGAGACGAGCGCTCTCGGTGCGCCCCGCCACTCGGATAGCACGGTACCTAATGGGTGTCGCCGTCTGGTGGCCTCCGGAGGAAGGCATTATCGGCAGTGCCAGCATCTCCCATTGGAAACGCTCGGCGGTCGGCACACTACTAAGTATATTCTAGGCATATACCGGTGTTCCTAAATAGCGAAACGCGCTCTCGGTGCGCCCCGCCACTCGGATAGCACGGTACCTAATGGGTGTCGCCATCTGGTGGCCTCCGGAGGAAGGCATTATCGGCAGTGCCAGCATCTCCCATTGGAAACGCTCGGCGGTCGGCACACTACTAAGTATATTCTAGGCATATACCGGTGTTCCTAAATAGCGAAACGCGCTCTCGGTGCGCCCCGCCACTCGGATAGCACGGTACCTAATGGGTGTCGCCGTCTGGTGGCCTCCGGAGGAAGGCATCATCGGTAGTGCCAGCGTCTCCCATTAGAAACGCTCGGCGGTCGGCACACTACTAAGTATATTCTAGGCACTGTACCGGTGTTCCAAAATAGCGACACGCGCTCTCGGTGCGCTCTCGGTGCTCCCCGCCGCTCGGATAGCACAGTCCCTAATGGGTATCGCCATCTGGTGGCCTCCGGAGGAAGGCATCATCGGCAGTGCCAGCATCTCCCATTGGAAACGCTCGGCGGTACTAGTAGGTGTACTCGAGGCACTCTAACGACGTGCCAAAGTAGCATAGGTGGGCAAGAAGAGCTTTAGAAAATAGCCCACTGATTATCTACACTTTGTTTACCTTATTTGGCAAAATATATTCTAATATATGTACTTTTGAGCTACATAAAAATCGCCAGAGATTTTCTCGAACTTTACACACGTTCCTTTTATCTGAAGAAACTGCAGAGAGATATTTCTTACATTTAAAAGGAACTTGAAGACGTGCTTTCTTACCACGTTAGGAGCTGATAAATCAGGTGACCGGAAATTTTCTCGGGTACAACGCTTGTGACGCTGAAAAAAATACAGTTTCCTAATATACACTAGAGGGAACTCTGGCGCGAGTGTCTATGGGAGCTGCAACGCACGGCGCTTTGGCGAGCATGGAAATAATAAGTAGTATTAGTTATTATTGAGCAGTCTAGTGTTAGTCCCTGGAATGTCTACTGGATGGTGATACTTGTATACGATGAATATATGATGTGTAAAGATGCGAGATGGTGGCCCTTGGAGTGTTCTCGAGGCGGACGGACATACATACAGACAGACGGACGCGCGGACAGACGGACGGACAAACAGACAGACGGGAGTAAATACATACATAAAGACAGGCGGACAGACGGACGGGCGCGGCCAGCGGATGATTCACGGTTTGTCGATAAAACCCTTCGATTGATTGATGTGTGCGGTTTAACGTCCCGAAACCACCATATGATTATGAGAGACGCCGTAGTGGGGGCTGCGGAAATTTCGACCACCTGGGGTTCTTTAACGTGCACCCAAATCTGAGCACACGGGCCTACAACATTTCCGATAAAACCCTTCGAAGCTTCACCCCATTATAATCGTTCACTACGTGGATATGCTGTGACATTTTCTTTAATATTTCCAACAATTTTATGCTTCCATGGTAGCACCATTTTTTTCTGCAGCGTTCTCTTAGAGAACCACGAAAAGCCGTATAGTCTGGTGCCGTGTGTCATCGGCGCAACTCCTTTGAGCAAATGGTCCCTTGTGGCGAGACAAAAAGGTGTACTCAAAGTAACTCACTTTTGCAAGTGTGGCTTGGTAAGGACAGGTTAAAAGGCGCGAAAAGCAAACAGGCCGATTTATCTCGGTCTTCGCCGATTTCACTGCGGCACAAGTTTTTAAAAAGGCTAGAATAGGGCGACAGCCTGCCCAAATACTAGAGAAAGAAGGCATTCCGGTGGTAACTGCATATGCGTGGCGATAACAACCGAACGCTAACAGCTGAAGGTGCACTCAACGGCGGAAAACGAATCATCCTTGCTTTTAGCGGGACACATCAGTGCTCTCCCTTAGTTGAGTACGAAGTACTCGAAATCGTTAAACATTTTTTTCTAAACACAATTAAGACACGAGAACATACCTGCATATGCGCATGCAATATGCAGGCATGCGCGTACTTCAAGGAATGCAAGATATGCCGACCATCGTCTTTGCATTCGCATCTCACGCGGAGATTGAGACAGGCGGCCGTATGTTTTGCCGTAAATCTTGTTATCGATGATGTGTTTTATACCGGTGTCACACGGGCACTTTTAATTGCGATCAGTGTCGGTCTGAATCAGCCACGATCCAGATTAGGTGCTGCTACATGGCTACTTTTAGTCACGCTGAGGCGTGATCAGGATCAAAATTATCGCGATCTGCCTCAGATATCGCGATTTAGCTGTCGTTTGCACCCCATAGCCGAGCTTTTTGAAAGCACAATAAACAGGAAAACCGAGCATAGGTAATTAAAAACTCTTTAAGACATATAGATGATTATAAGAAAGCAAATGCTAAACTGTTTAAATTGGAACAATATCTCAAGTATTGCATATTTTAGGATTCGCATCGACCGCATGTAGTCACGGGCGAAGCAGACGACAGGCCTGCAGACGACAAGCAGTCGTCCATTGCCTTCGGCGCTTAGTTCAACTCTCGCCCCGTCGAAGCTGTTGTAGCACCTCGAAGCAAGCTCATTATGAGTGTCGCAAGCCTTTCGACAACGTACGCGCACTTCGTGGTCGAATGAAAGAGACTTTGACAGTAATTGACCACTGGCAGGAGCGACTGCAGAACAGACTCGACGCGTCAGAAGTGAAACATTGGCGCGGACAACGAGAATGACGCTTCACTGCGACTACACGGCTACGAGCGGGGGCCATCAGAATTAAAGCGAAAGTTAAGAATCTCACATAGCAATACAGGTAAGTGCAAGGAAAGTTTTATCGAATGATGGTTTTACGAAGATACTATTGTAGTGGCATGCAAAGTTTCTGACGTACGAGCGGTTCTTGCACGAACAACATTGCTGATAAAGGGCTCTATAGATATACCGTACGCCGAGTTTCGTCAGTGGCATGTTTTACGGCACACAAATGCCACCTGGGGCATTTCCTCTGACCCAAGCTCGAAGCGGATTAGCTTGGGCCAGGTAGAAGCGGTCTTAAGTTGATCGCGATAAAAAAAAACTGATACGGATCACCCTGATCGCGATTAAAGGTGCCCGTTTGACACCGGTATTAATGTTTTTGATGGTGGTAGCCTGTGACAGTTATACGGTAGCTTGTCGCAATGTGGAATTGTCATGCGAAGTGCATCACAGCCGTCGTAGCGTACGCTTCTGGGCACCCTGTCGCGGTTAAACCATAGATTGCGAGAAAAAAAAAGAAGGTCGTGAAACACTTTTCGGCTTCATTACGCCACGCAAGAAAGCAATAAATTTGCCATGATGTCGTCTACCAACATATGGACTTCTTTGTGCAATTTACGGGCATACCCACGATAGTTTTCAATCTGGCAACAATGAAACTGTCACCGACATGTGCTTGCAGCCATCGTGGCGCGACTTGAGCAAGTATACGTTCCTCGTCGTTGTCGCTTGAAAATCGCGAGCATGCGGTTGGGCCCTAATCTTTCGAAAGTGTGCCGTTTTCGTGAGCTTAAGTTGAGCCTAAACGGGACAGACGACTCCATATCCCGAAAACCGGACACCTGCTGCCTTTCTGACAGCACTGTAATACTGACGCTTAAAAGCACTGCGGATAAAAGGCACGAGAAGAAAAACAAAATGCTTTCTCTCAGTTCTTGCCGATTTACAGTGGTACACGTTTTTAAAACGGCTAGTAGGGCGATAGCACGGCTTAAAACTAGAGAAACAAGGCATGTCGATGGCGACTGCGCAGGAATAGCATTTTTTGTCTTCGAATTTGACTCGAATGACATTTTTAATAGCCAAATAAGATAACAGTTAGGTGTACTCATTCTCTTTAAGGTCCAGTATATATGGACGGCTTTACCGAGTAATTTAAAAAAAAATTCTGGAGTGGAAATTATTGCCCAGGAGTGAAGCCCTGCCTATGGCAAGATGGCGGCTGCGGCAGCCATCTTACTATGTGGGCACCCGCAGAAAATAGCATGTTTTTCAGACCTTTGGAGCAAAAGCTGGCTTCACTACTGCTGACAAAGCAAGGCGGGAGCTTCCACTCCAGCAATTTTTCTTTAATCCTCCTTGGGAGTAACTAGTACTCTCAATTATTACCTACTTTTTTTTTCTACAACAGCGTCAACGGACATTGCGAGAGCCTATATATACATATATGATAGGTGTAACGTTCAAGGAAACACCCTTGGGTGTAATTTGCGAATATACACCTACAGTACACCTAAAATTCACAAATGGGTGTACAAAAGGTTGAATTGCAGAAATTACACCCGTGCGGATAAGTTTGGCAGAAATAATAGGTGTAAGATGGGTGATTTATTGAAAAATCCACCCTTAAGGGTGTGAAATGATTTGCAGTGTATGAGCTTCGCGCCTAAAAAGTGAAAAAAAAAGAAAAACGAAAACATCGTACCTCTTCCCTCTGGTTGATGGAGGCGACGTCGGTGGCCGTGTGGAAGTCGTTGTCGAGCGCCCACAGGTTGACGCCGAACGAGACGAGGAAGGAGACGCAGTTGATGTGGCCGTTGGCCGCCGCGCAGTGAAGCGCCGTGCTGCCGTAGTGGTCGCAACGGTCCGGATCACCCCTGCAAGGAGCGAGAAAGAAAAAAAAACGAAAATGTTAGCCTACGTGGGCAACAAGACGACTAGCGCAACAGCAGAGAGTATAGTCAACAATATAGGCAAAAGTCTCGTCACGCAGATTGTCCGGATATTTAGTACTTGCTGCTGGTTGATAAGCCAACACGTGTCACGCGTGTCAAACATGCCTCGCCATCTTACGTTACGTCATGGGCAAGCAGCCTATATGCTGCAAGCGGTTCCGCGTCTGTTCATGGCCCGGCTCTGTCACTCGCCATGATAGTGGCGACAATGATGCATAGGATCTCCGATTTCTGGACGCTGAATGTAAGCTCCGCCGCCGAACATCGACAACCATGGTCATGGCTACGAGACTCGGCACAACAAGCAGTAAAGTTTCATCTGAAAAATGAAGTTCATCTGTCTGTCTGTGTGTCGGCGCTCGAAGTTTCAACGAAAATCAAGATAAGTGGGAGATCAACTGGCATGTAGGCATTCTTTGAAGCGAATGATATTAACGAAGAGTATTCTCTTCGTTAAAGAAAAAGTGGCGCTTTTGTTTGTGCGGCTATCGGCTTTTTCTCCAGTTCTCCCTTTTTCACCTTTGTATGAAATTGTGAAAATAAAAGATTTTTTGATTGATTGATTGATTGATTGATTGATTGACCTCGGCACCAGCCTCAACCGTATATACGCTGCGGGACCACATCGTTCGTGGCATCTGAAGTCGCGCAGCGCGACAGGCGCTGCTCGAAAGAGAAGTTCGATCACTCTGGCCGAAGCAGAAACTATTGCCACAGCTGCAGCAACCGCTGCGCAGGAAGTTATATGACCGTTACCAAACCTGATAATGAGGCAGCTGTGCGCAGTTTAGCTAGAAACATCACGCCTGTATCAAACTCCTGTCAAAGATAGGTAGCAACGTTTTAATGATTACGTAAGCTGCGGAAGCTATGATCATCTACAGCAAATGATTGTCCAGGTCATATAGCAGCAAATTGACGCTCCCAATCGATATTCAAGGCTCCTGGCAGGCACTATGGCACCACTTACGCTGTTCAGCTAGACAGCGCGGCATCTGAAGCTGAGGAAATTGACATTTCAACAGTCTTCCCAGTGCAATATTAACAGACACGGAAGAAGCAACGTCTACTACAGGCGTTTTGCAGAGTCATCCCCTGAAGCGCGGGGAGGGGGGGGGGGTCTGTCCTAAATTATGATGATTGATACCGGATCGTCGTTATCGATAATCCCACAGAAAGTGTCTCTCAAGCACACTCTGAGCCGGCCGCGGTTATCGAAATGCAAACGGACGCTCAGATGCTACCTAGGCAAGTTGCTAAATTTCGCTGAACTGTGTATCCAAGCCCATGTTTACAGGTAACGCTGTCCCTGCGACCCTGATAGTTATAGAGTGTTATGGTCCTAGCCTTTGTTGGGTTGAGTTGAGTCTATTTACCAAGTACAGTTTTACAGCAAATGGCTGGGACAAGGGTGAAAAAGCTGCGCAAACACCTTGACAATGACCCACATCCTCATGTTTACTGTGACAACAGAACAACAGAGAGAGAGAAAAAAAGCTTTATTTGTGCATAACGTGGAGCATTCCAAATGGTCGGGCCCCTATTCCAGGGCTCCGCTGGCCCTAGCCATCATCTCTAGCCTTTGTGCCAGCCAGCGATCATTAGCAATGACCGAGCTGGACAGCAGTGCCTCGCATTGTTCCTCTGTGTTGTTCGTGCTGTGGTGTTCTTCATTGTGATCTGTACACTCCTACGCACGTGATGTGAAACAGAGTTGGTGTGGCCCCACACTACGGGCATGTATCTCTGTATGCTGTGGGGTAGAATACATTTATCCTGTGTAAGTTCGTGTGTGTGTTTGGTACTTGGTCATGCCTGCCTAAGGGAAGTTTGACAACAAAACGGCAAAAGCAAAGTAAACAAGGCAAAGTGGAAGGAATATAATCGAAGCAGTGTCGATACTTCTGTGTAAGTTCCTTTATGCAAAGCAATCAATTTTCGACTCCCTCTGGACAGAGTCTACAGCCATTTTTGGACCGGGGCTCACAATCATTCAAGGGCCACCCGTGAAATTGCACTTTTGAGAAGGTACCCAACCGAAATTCCATAAGACGCGGCCTGTCCGTTAAGCCTCCGTGAGAAAATGGAAACTCAGCTGGAACGCTTGTGGTGAGCGAAGGCATTTTAATCGCCCGTAGCACATTCTGATTGCGCAGCACCAATCGTGCCTGCTGTGACAAAAAAAATAAGGGCCCCTCCGCATCTTTCGAAACTACTGTTAATGCCGCCCGCACAACTGAGCAGTACTCGCCGCCTAACAACGAGGATATTGTCCAGTCGCCTTGTGGTGGAACTCCCTTCAGCACTTTAAGTCTAAAGGAATCATATAGGAATAATAATAATCATATAAGAAGCTGACCTTGATAATAACGCACAAGAGGTTGTTCTGGTATAACCATCTTCCGTTTTAAGCGGCACATGGAGACTGTCCTGGCTACAACCAAGGGCTTCCAGCTGTGCAGGTATACATATGCTCGAACGACGTATTATTAGCGGAACGTCAAAACCGGAAATACTCGGTACTCCGGGATGTCTTGCGCCGGCTGCAAGATAATGGACTTACGCTGAAGGCGAAAAAAAAAATGTCACTTTCGCAAAGATGCAATCGTCTACTCGGATTGATTGATGAATTGATTGATTGATTGATTGATTGATTGATTGATTGATTGATTGATTTGTGGGGTTTGACGTCCCAAAACCACCATATGACTATGAGAGACGCCGTAGTGGAGGGCTCCGGAAATTTCAACCTCCTGGGGTTCTTTAACGTGCACCCAAATCTGAGCACACGGGCGTACAACATTTCCGCCTCCACCGTAAATGCAGCCGCCGCAGCCGGGATTTGAACCCGCGCCCTGCGGGTCAGCAGCCGAGTACCTTAGCCACTAGACCACCGCGGCGGGGCAATTGTCTACTCGGGACATCTGGTCTACAATGACGGCTTGCATCCCCTCTAAAAGAACCTAGCCGTGCCCCGCCGCGGTGGTCTAGTGACTAAGGTACTCGGCTGCTGACCCGCAGGTTGCGGGATCGAATCCCGACTGGCTGCATTTTCGATGGGGGCGAAAATGCTGTAGGCCCGTCTGCTCATATCTGGGTCCACGTTAAAGAACCCCAGGTGGTCGAAATTTCCGGAGCCCTCCAGTACGGCGTCTCTCAATCATACGGTGGTCACATATGAATCAAGAACCTACCCGCAATTACGTATACGCTATTAACCGCGGCGAGCTGCGCTCGTTCTTGCGTCTGCTGCGGCTCACTATCCCCGGTTTCTGCCACACGTGTCGGCGACGTTGGCCCCCTTGTATCACCTGCTCGAAAAATAGGATAAATGGGAAAGGGGAGCGTCGCAGGAAGATTCATATCTCAAAGCTAAACAAACGCCTCTGAGGTCGCCAGTGCTGACATTTTTTTTCGAACCCGACCAACCAGCGTCGACGCGGGTCGAGGTGGTGAGGTGGAACCAAGGAGGATTTTAAAAATGCTGGAGTGGAAATGATTGCGCACAAGTGAAGCCGTTCCTGTGGCAAGATGGCAGCTGTGGCGGCCATCTTACTAGGGGCATGATAAGGTATCACCGTTCTGCGATTAAAATCGAAGCGTTTACCTCGAACGCCCAACGAGCTTAATGTGGGAACTTTTTTCGGGTCACATAGGGCTCCAAGTGCGTCTTACAGTTACTAGTTTTCCTTAGTGAGCCTCTCTCTGGAGGCAAAGTTATTTGAGTATTCAGTCATCCATACTCGTTTCTGTGTGTTATTTCGTCGGGAACAACTATCTTTTAATATAGAACTAACGTAGCATTTACATAACATATCAAAGCAACTTGATCTGTAAGTGGGCACTATCAGAAAAGAGCATGTTTCCGCCATTTCGGCAGTGGCAAAATCCGGCTTCACTTCTGCTGGCAAGGCACTGCGGGAGCTTCCACTCCAGCAATTTTTCTTTAATCCTCCTTGGGTGGAACTGCTAAACCTTTGCCGAACTTCGTCTTGCGGCAAAGCGGATTCAGGCCACAAAGAGCCAAGCCGTGCCAAAAGAACGAAGATCAGATAAATGCGTGTGCTATACCCATAATTCCCGAGCTCGCAGAAGCGCCGTGCGTCACAGCTCCCATGGGCACTAATGCGCCAGAGTTCCCTCTAGCGTAGTTGTAGGAAACTTTATGGCACTATACCATCACACCTCCTTCTTGCTCTGCTCTTGATTCATTCTCTAGTTCTCTTTCCCACTCTTTTCTATTATATGATATAGACTATTTTATCTAAGACGGATGGACGCCGCCAGGTGCGTAGTCAGAAATTCATTTCGTGAGGGGCACCCCCTTAAAACGGCCATTTCTCGCCCTTTATGCCATAGCAAAAAAAAAAAATCCGGGGGGGGGGGGGGGGTGGCACGTTGCCTTGGCTACGCCCCTGGGCACCACCATCTCAAGCTGTTAAGCCAATGTTTTTTTTTTTTTGCGTCTTGCGACGTGAAATAATCGGGCTCGAAACATTCATGTGCACCAACTGAACCGTTTTGATGCGTATATCTGCCGTAAAAATATGAGAAACACAAAACGTTACCAGTCCAATATGGCGGCACTGAAACCCACCCTTAAAACAGTCTATATACAAGACCGTGTTTGAGAACCCTGTTCTGTATGACTGCAGCCGGGAATCAGAGTTTCCCACATTACTTACCAGAGGGAACTCTGGCGCTAGTGTCTATGGGAGCTGCAACGCACAGCGCTTCAGCGAGCATGGGAATGATGGGTAGTACACACATTTGTCTAAACTTCTTACTTCTGGCCTGCTCTTGGCTCCGTGTTTGTTCATGTGGCTTGAAGCTGTTTTCTCGCGAAACAAAAATTCGTGTGGCTTGAAGCTGTTTTCTCACGAAACAAAAATCCGCAAATGTTCAGCGATTGCGCTTTACCA